CGAGAGAGAAAAAGGAAAAAAAAACTTGTGAATGCACTTGAGGCTTGCACTTCTGCATTACTCCCCTCCTTCTTTATCCAACCCTCTCCCTTCTTCCTCTAAGACCAAGTCAGTCATTGCTTTTCATTCAGTTGGATTGATGATGGAGATTTTTTTCACCAGTGATGTTCATATTGTATATGATTACTTGTACAAAGGATCTAAAGCTCTTTTTTTATCTTCACAAGGGGTAACACTTTTAAGATGCATCTTTCTTTCTTTTTTTTTTAAACAAAAGACTATTTAAAAAAAAAAAAAAACATTTCAGGGATCTGTAAAAGGAATCTGATGGTTCAAAAGGTTGTTTATTTAAAGGAAAAAGGTCCACTGTGTACAGGAAAAGTCTCCACCTCCCTTTTGAAAGATTGTTTCTTGTAGAAACGTCTTCATTTTTCTGCCCGTTTGCTTTGTAATCCTAAAACAAACAAAAACAAAACAATGTGTAAATACTGTAACTGTGAATACTATATAAATATATATATATATTTTTGTTCCCTGGGATTTGCTACGTGATCACAGCTCAGACATCTATGTATCATAATGAGGTGAGCGATGGGCTGGTAGCAGGAAATTCAGCTTGTGTCAAGCTTTGTTTTTGTTTTTTTTGTTTTTTTTTTATTATTATTTTCTGTTGTAAATTCTATGAAAAAGTTGTTTGCGGTGTGGAGAAAAAAAAAAAAGGTGCAGAATCGGCACGGGAAGAGGACTGAAGCGTCAGCCCGGTCCTCGTGTCTATTTATTATACAACAAATGTATGAAAAAGGAAAAAAAACAAAAAAAAAATGGAAATAAAGCAATTTTGCATACATCCATAAACGGTGGTTGTTTTTGATGAGATGGAGCGAGCCGTGGTCCCGGCGATGCAGAATTTTCTTGAATGGAAGCAGCAGCTGACCAGACAATGACTCGGTGTCAGGCTGCTGTGATTGACGAGGTCATGTGATCCGCTGTCCTCTAACAAACGCACACTCACAGCCTGCGGGGTCACAACACCAACAAATACAGCTGATAGCCAAATCAAACAAGAGCTGCACAGTTTGATGAAAAGATTATTATTCCACAAAAGCAAATTAGTGGCTTCGTACACACTCAGCTGCCAGTTGTTTAGTTTTAGAAGGTGCTTGTTCGTCTTTATAGGAGGGCGTATTATTATTATCCAAAGAGGTGTTTCAACGCAGTGATTCTCAGACTGGAGGTCAGAACCAGGGGTCAACAGATTATCAGTCAATTACGGGATCTGATATTCAGTGTTTTTCTGGCAATCTGCATCATTTATGAAGAAATAAATGTATTTAAAAATGTCCTACTTTAGCTCTGATGCAGCTACTGTTGCACCAGGTCTCCAGCGACGTTCCTCCGACAGTCTGTCAACACTGAGGGATAAATACTGAAAAGCAGTTTCTGAGTTTTTTTTTTTTTGCTCCTGTCACATTTTCACTCATTTTTAACTGTAATACAAAGTCCTGCACCTTTATGGAAACAACACAACTGTGGCTAAAGTAAAGACTAAAACATGTTTTTGTGCAGTTTAACAAAGTGACATAAACATTCATAACA